ACCAAGAATAGTTTTATTTCCTTTAATATTGATTACAATGTAGGGGTATGTTAGGAAAAATAATAGTGAAATTTATTATTTCAATTATATTAACTAGATTTTTCTTAATCTATATGAAAAAGGAAATATGACTATCTTTATGGGATTGTGGAAGTAACAAATTTCGATCTTGTGAATTTAGACAACAGATGCATCGGTATAAGTCTTATATTTAGTGCTTATCTTTTTCTTTCTTTCTTTCTATGTTTTTTTTTTCTCGATTTCAACATTTTCTTATGCAAATGACTTGGATAATGTAGATTCATTGCAATCTATGACACCTATACAAACATTTTATCTTTTAGTTAATTGTGTATCTTAAGATCATTTGACCGATGATTAAGATTTAGACAATATCCTTGACAATATTTGCAATCACTTCTTCAAAACTTTCGAAAATTATTGCTTGCATTGGTTAGTACGTAGAGAGGGAACTGAATCACATGTACTCTAATTATGATAGCACCACATGAAAATATCAATTTTATCATTGCTAAATCGGTTGGCATGGGCGGACCCAAGGGGGTCATGAGGGGTCACTTGACCCCCAACTCTTGAGATTTTTTTTTTTTTAATAAAGTTATGTTTGGTATCGATTAAAATTTAAATTTTAATCTAAATCAAAGTTAATAATTAATTATAATAACATATTTCCTAAATTCCTTAACTTCTAAAATTTTATCTAAATTTACTAAAAATTGGATTTTAATCTCCATCAAACAGAGACAAAATCATAATAAATTTGAATTTTCTCCCTTTTTTATTGTTCTATCGTATTCTCCCCCTCAAGTCTTTTACCAAAATTTTAACTCTTCTAATTTTTTAAAATTTGTTTATAATTTCTCTATAATTATCACATCTACAGTCTACTATAAATTTTTACTTTTCAATCAAATTTTCAACTAATTAGAACTTAAAGTTGCATTTCCTCTTATCTTATTTGTGTATATAGCACGTGTCTAAACTGATTATATAAAATTTAACTTATATATAACGAATTGTGTTTATTTGACTGATTATTAATATTGAATATTGGTTATTTATTTTTTCTTTCGATTACTTGAATTGATTGTTTGTATCAAATATACAATTTTTTAAAACATAAATACACATTTTCTTGTGATGAGCAAAATATTTAAAAAATTATTGTTCAAAATCAAATAGATGAAAATGATTTTTAAAATATTAATAAAGAAATATTTTTGAAATGTAAATCTACATTTTTTCGGGTCAAATATGAATCATTCAAAAATAAAAAATAAAGTATTCGATTTGTACAAAGTTTGATTGTGCCTCCTAACTCAATTTCTCTGCATCCACCCTGATCGGTTGGTAAAATTTATTATTGGACTTTATAAGGTTTGTGTTTCTAAGAGTCATCAAAATTCTTTCGACAAGTTTACTTTTTGTTTTCACAATGTCATCAGTAAAGGGTGACACATTTGCCATATTTTTCAAGTTTTGTATGTCTGACTAATAAATCCAACTTAGGCTATTTATTTACATCCTTAAAAAAAAAAAAAATCAGTTTAATAAAATAGGATAAAATTATTTGTATATGACAAAAATAGTGATCTTAACACTTTTACAATACTTAAAAAATCCAAAAGAATGTGCATTGCTTGTTCACTTTGACTACTAGTACTAAATGGTCGGATGTGTCAACCCTCACTTTAGACCGTGCTGACTTGATATGGTTCGTTTTATATTTGTAACCATGTCATCCTTTCTCGAGCAATCGAATTTCAGATTGCACAAATATTAACAAAATTTCTCTAGAAATTCCATCCTAACATTTTTCATTTTTACTTTGGGCTGCCTTAGTATTACCAAGATGGGGAAAAAAAATAAATAAAAAAATATCCTTTTTGTCTAGCTCGTGGAAGAGATTAACATGTATGTAGCTCATTTGGCCTCTCTAAATCAGGACAAGAGTGGAGTAATCAATGCAAACTAGGATAAACCAAACACAGAGTAGACGAATGAGAAACAAAAATCAAAGCAATTTTCCTATGATTTTTGGAAAACATACATGAGACACCTTATTCGATAGCCTTCTCAGGAACAACCGGCTATTATGTATAACCCTTCAAGATCAAACATTCAAGATGTTGTGCAAACGTGAACAATATTTGGTATATAAAAGATAATATTTAAATAATATACATGCACTTTTTAATAGTTTACATTTTTTCTTTTTTTAAATTAGTTCAACATGGTATCAAAACAAGCAAAGATCCTAAGTAGAAGTCTTGTCATCACCCGTTCATTACAGAAGTATGCACAAGTAAAGTTTTAATGAGAGAATAAATCTGACCATAAATAGAAGGATGTATAAGGGATAACATTTAAATAGTGCTTTTACTCAAGAATGTTACCTAGTACTCAAATGGATAGATGAAGAGTGAATAGTATGCAACACGTCTCAAAGATATATAACAGATTTTGATTTTAATTATGTATCAATAGGATAAATGTATCAGTAAGTATTTATCTTTTAGAGCTTATTTTTAAACTCTACCACAAGTACAACCCCCTCACATGGGAGGCGGAGCCCATGTATTAATTGGGCGTGGGCCCCTCCCCTCATGTGAGGGGAGTGTACACCAAGTGTACAAGGGGATTTATCCTTATAAATTTTATCGTTGCTAAAATTTAGCAATAGACTTTATACGTCAATGATTCCAAGAGCCATCAAAATTCTTTTGACAATTTCACTTTTCATTTTCACAATGTCATAGATAAATGGTGACACTCTAGCCATATTTTTCAAAATTTGTATTTCTGACTAATAAATCAAATTTAGGCTACTTTATTTACATTCTTCTTCTTTTTCCTTTTTTTTTTTTTTTTAAAGAAATAAAGAGTAAGACAGGGTAAAAATATTTGTATATGACAAAAAGTAGTGATCTTTAACATCTCATAAATCTAAAAATAATATGCATTGCTTGTTCACTTTTACTGGTAGTACTAAACTGCTCTTAATTCGTTCCATTGCTATTTTCGCGCAAGTTCGGACAGCATTTTACATTTTTATACTTGATCTGATTCTTTGAGTTAAGAGTTCACAAGTATTTTTGGCTTATGAGATTATTAATGTAATTTTATTATTAACTGTTATATGTAATTTTTGGATAGGTCGAATGTGTCAAGTCTCATAGTAGAGTGTTCTGACTTGATGTGGTTCATTTTATATTTGTAACCATGCCATTCTTTCTCGAGCAATCGAATTTCAGACTGTACAAATATTAACAAAATTTCTCTAGAAATTCTAGCCTAACATTTTTCATTTTTATCTTGGGTTGCCCTAATATTACCAAGATGATGAAAAAAAAAAAAACTTATTGTCTAGCTCGTGAAAGAGATTACCATTTATGTATCTCATTTGACCTCTCTAAATCAGCACAAGAGTCGAGTGATCGATACAAATCAGAATAACTCAAACACGGATTAGACAAATTAGAAACAAGAATCAAAACAATTTTCCCATGATTTTTGGCAGACATACTTGAGACACCCTTATTTCATAGCCTTTCCAAGAACGGCTATTTCACATAAGCCTTCAAGATCATTCAAGATGTTGTGCAAACGTGAACAACATTTGGTTTATTGAACAAAGTATTTAAATTAAATACATGTAGTTTTTTTTTTTTTAACAATTTACTTTCTTTTTTTTCTTTTTTTTTTGGTAATGGTTCAGCGTGGTATTAGTGGCGGATCCAAGAAAAAATTCAACACGGACTAAGACATATATTAAAAAAAAATACTGCACATAAAAAAAAATTTTTACTTAAAATTTTTTTAATGGACATTTGGGCTGAAGGGAACGGGTTGTAGCACAGCCCAGCCCGTCCCTGGATCCTCCCATGCATGGTATCACGTATCAGAACAAGCAAAGATCCTAAGTAGAAGTCCCGTCATCATTCGTTTATTACAAAAGTATGCACAAACAAGGTTTTAGGGAGAAAATAATTCCAACCATACATTAAGGAATGTATAGAAAATAATATATAAATAGTACTTTTTAATTCAAGAGGTGTATGATTTATGTTTATAAACTATTATATAAATACATAGTTCACTTTTAATTCACACATTTTGAGACTACACTCAATTTTATCTATTTTATAATTTAAAACATTTATAAACACTTTTCAAACATGCTCTAAAGCCTAACATGCGGTTAGAAATGAGTGGTAGTTAAGGGAGTAGTATTTGTGCATTTCTTAAAATATATGATAAAAGGTATGTTTATAAAGACAAACCAAACATAGTCTTATTTAGTTTTATTTTGTGTACAATTTTGGAACACTAAATAGACCATAACACAAGAAAACAAATCTACGAAAATAATTGTAAAAGCACAAAATATCGGATAATGCATGGTTGGCATATAGAATGAAGGCTTATATCTTGAACTGAAGCTCTCATAAATTATTCTTGAAATACATCAGAATTGATCTCCGATGCTTCAAAATACATTAGAGATAGAACTAAACGAGACTGGATAGAATTTGCTTGTCACTCAAACAAGGTAATACATGGGATCGGGGATTTTGAATGTTCGATTGCCATTATTGTCCCCAAGAATATCACTCCACTGGTCTCCAGAATTTCCAAGAATTCTATATCCTGCTTTTACAAGCTCTGATCTTCTTTTTTACTTATACGCCAATGCTGTAAGGCCCTTTTCAGCTGAAAAGGAAATTCTCTGTTGTATTTTATTGAATACATTGGTAGTGATTTATACACAAAATACAGTGAAAGATAATTCTAAACTATGTACATGATAAATACAAAATAAATAAGAACCTAATCTAGTTAACTAAGTAGGAGTATATAGTTTGAGGGGATAATGATAATGCTTTCTAATATTCATCAATATCTTCATCAATAGATTCTCTGCCAATACCCTCCTTCAAAGGCAGTGTGGTTGAATGAGGAAAAATGCACAACTTTGATCAAACTAAGAAAAATTGAAGTTTTGTAACCCCTTTTGTAAAAATATCTACAAGTTGAAGCGAAGAGGGTACAAAACTCAGGTGGAAAACCCGACGTGCCACAAGTTCCCTAATGAAGTGATAATCAATGGCAATATTCTTGGAGCGGGACTTGGTGGCCGGGTTGGAAGCAATAAACATTGCACTTTTATTATCACATAACATAGTTGGAGGCGAGGATAGCTTGATATGTAGCTCACGAAAAAGCTGAAGTGTCCATGAAAGATCAACAGCTAGAACAACAAGTGCTCGATATTCTGCCTCAGTACTGGAACGAGAAACAGAGGTCCATTTCTTGGAACACCAAGAGATGAGATTCGAGCCATAATAGACCGCAAAACCTGTAGTAGAACGCCTAGTGTTTGGACATCCTACCCAATCTGCATCAGAATAACCAAGTAACGTAGAGGAGGAGTGTCTTGACAATTGAAGGCCAAAGTGATAGATGCCTTTAACACATCTAAGAATACGTTTCAAGGCACGAAAATGATATGTAGTAGGAGCATGCATATATTGACAAATGGAGTTAATGCTGTAAGATAAATCTGGGTGGGTAAGCGTCAAATATTGTAAAGCTCCAGCAATAGAACGCCTAGTGTTTGGACATCCTACCCAATCTGCATCAGAATAACCAAGTAACGTAGAGGAGGAGTGTCTTGACAATTGAAGGCCAAAGTGATAGATGCCTTTAACACATCTAAGAATACGTTTCAAGGCACGAAAATGATATGTAGTAGGAGCATGCATATATTGACAAATGGAGTTAATGCTGTAAGATAAATCTGGGTGGGTAAGCGTCAAATATTGTAAAGCTCCAGCAAGAGACCGAAACTGTGGAGAATTAGCATGAGGCTCACCAGATTCAGTGAGATGCGAACCAAACAAAAAGGGGGTGGAAATAGGCTTGCAATCTTTCATAGCAACACGATTCAGAAGGTCCAAGGCATACTTAGATTGGCTAAGAAAAATCCCTTTGTCATTTCGAATTACCTCTATGCCCAGAAAATAATGGAGATCACCTAAATCCTTCATAGAAAATTCTGTGGCAAGTCGATCAATAAGGGTATGAATCATTTTAGCATTACTACCAGTAATCACCATATCGTCGACATATAACAGCAAATAGATGACACCATGAGAGCCATGATAAACAAATAGAGATGAGTCGGCCTGACTAGCAATAAAACCAAGGTGAAATAAAAAGGAGCAGAACCTTTGGAACCATGCCCTTGGAGCCTGTTTAAGACCATAGAGAGCTCGTTGCAAGTGACATACATGATTAGGAAATTGAGAACTAACATAACCTAGAGGTTGTTCCATATAAACTTCTTCTGAAAGATGGCCATGCAAAAAAGAATTTTTAACATCAAGCTGTTGAAGAGGCCAATTATGTATATGAGCAAGAGAAAGGATTATTTGAACCGTGGCAGGACGAATGACCAGACTGAAAGTCTCTTCAAAGTCGATGCCATGTTTCTGAGAAAATCCCTATGCTACAAGACGAGCTTTATGGTGCTCTATAGTACCATCTGCACGAAGTTTAGGTTTAAAAATCCAACGACAACCCACAACATTATGATTAGAAGGTCGAGGTACTAATCGCTAGGTGTTATTTTGCTTTAGAACTGTTATTTCATCATCCGTTGCAGTAAGCCATTCCTAATGTTTTAAGGTTGACTTAAAACCCCATGGCTCTTTAACAGCAACATGTACCTGAAACCATGGAGGAGCTGACAAAGCAATTAACGAATGAATAGTACGAGGCTTAACAATACCATTCCTTAAACGAGTAATCATAGGATGTGGGGTTGGTGGCGATCGTGAAAAAGAAGAAGTGGGTGGATTGACACTTGAAGCAGTCACAAGCTCGGATGGAGGAGCAT